CCCGTCCCTACTCAGCACTCTGGACTGGGATGGTCTTAGCAGAGCAGCGGTGTCTGTTCATAAGGGCGTTTCTGTACAGCACGGGCTTTCACAACCAAACAGGACAATTACTCAGACCAGCGGCCTAGACGGGCCACGAGACGATCTACTGGGGAGGAGGAAAAATATTAGGGCTTCCAGTGTTTCTCAGCTTGTCCTTTTTTATTCGTCTATGTTGTTGTGTTCCAGGATGTACATACTTATACGAGCTGTATGTGAATAAAGGATGCAAAAACCAGAAAAAGGCGAGGCACGCTAGCTGAGAGTGTGTGTGCACCCACCCAGAGGTGTCGCCATCAGGGACTCACCCCAGCCCTGGGGAAACGAAGCTACAGGCTTGTCTCCGTGGCTTCATGTGAAGCGTGGCTCACTCACCATTCAGGGGGTGGTGGAAGTACCTGGCTCCTCCTGCTCCTGGGGTGCTTACTGGGAGCCCAGTGCAGTGCCGAGCTCTGCAGCTGCAGGTGAGCGACACCAGCTCCCTGAGCATGCAGCATGCACGCAGCAAATGACAAGCTGATGCACCTGGATGGCCTGATCCCACAAGACTAGACCGAGACGGGGGCGAGGGTGACGGAGCCAGCAAAGACGATTAGATGCTCACTGGATGGTGGCCGTCATGGTGGGGATGAGAAGGCAGCCAATGAGGGCAGAGCAGAGATGGGAGGATGAGGGAAGAGGGTGGTCCAGAGGAGGCAGTGGCCAGACCAGGCGGACGCTGTGGATCCCATTGAGAATTCTGGACTTTACCCTACGAGCCATGGTGGCTCGGTCTAGGGTGACACAGTGCACCTGTGATTTGGTTAAGATCATTGGGGCTGAAGTTTGACGCATGGGTTTGCGAGAACCAGACTGTGCCACAGGGAGGTCAGTGGCCAGCTCCAGAGGGTGAGATTACAGAGGTCACGGTTCCTTCTGACTCAGCGCAGGGCGCTGCCGGAACACCCAGGTGGAGAGTTAGGTGGGTCGACAGAGGTCACGGTTCCTTTTGACTCAGTGCAGGGCGCTACCGGAACACCCAGGTGGAGAGTTAGGTGGGTCCTGAGCTCAGCCAAGAGGCAAATGTCACATCCCAGACTG